GCCTCCAAATTGCTCATTTTCCAAATCTATCCTGTAAGACTTTGTCTCTGGCTCAGAGATGTGGGGCCTTGGGACAGAAGCCAGCGCTTCAAGGAGCAGCCTGAGAAGGTGGCCCTGGGGAGGTGAGGGAGGGGCCACCCTGCCAGTTAATTGCACTCCCGTCAATGGGACCAAACGGAATCAGCACATTAACATGGCCGGTGTGCCTCTGAGTTGTCTAAACCAGCCCTGAATACTAACCAGGGAGCTTAGATGGAGCTAAAAATAACTGGCTAATCACCACCAGGAAGAATCAACAAGGACTCTGAAGAAAGGAAAATGTCTCAATATTCCATCTCTCCAGCAGCTGGGCTCCAGCTGGGACTGAAGTCTCCTCCAGCTCCCATTGGGCAGGTAATTAGGCAGGACCAAGGCTCTACACTTAGAGGAACTGAGGGCCCAAACTTCAGCGGGGTAAATGGAACAGGGTTAGGTGGGGTGAGGTGATTTGGAAATTATCGGTGAACCCAAAAGAAATGAAATGCAGCAGGAGGCAGCTTTGAAGAATAAAGCAGTTATCACCATAGTTTGTAGCTCTTCTTTTTACAGAAAATAAAATCCTTATAGGGAAACAGAATTTGACCTTTTCTGCAAACCCCCCTGAAAGTCTCCCATTCCCCAACTCCCTGGGCCTCTCTCTGAAATCAGCCCTGGGGTCCACACTCTAGCACCACTTTGAAATTAGTTCTCCTGGCAGCCTCCCTCTTGGGACAAGGACTAGGGCAGACCCACGGTAATCAGAACACTGGGACAGACTAGAGCATGCCACTGCACCACAAAGTGTGATGGGAGTCGTTCACTCAGGAAAAGGAAAGGATTATTTACAGTTGAAAGTAGTTCAAGAAAAAATAAAGAATATTATATTGTAGAGGGCAAGGCAATACTTGAAGAGCTTATTTCTTGCAAAAGGTATGAGCAGCTTAAATGTGAATATAAATTGGTTGCAAAGATTCACAAATGACGGAGATCTTACTAAAAACAACAGCCACGGAAGAGCTGTTTAGGAGTGTACCCCTATCCATTCTGCTCAGTATCCTGGGCTCCCTGATCATGATTCTTCCCTAGTCTGTACATGGTGAGGATCTGTGGAAAAATGAGGGAAAGAGGGGTGTAAGGAAAAGAATGAGGGTTAGAAGAGTAAGGACCTTGGGGTTCAGCGCCATTGCGACCCTGCCTAGCAGGAAGTGCTTGCAGAAGAACGGTTCTCCAGACTCACATGCACACATGGATGCTGGGGTATTTTCTTCTCTGGATCACAGTGAGACTCAAACACCTTAGCACCTGGAAGGATACTTCATTTGTGCCATGTGCAGTACAAATGTCACTGTCCTGTTACACTAAGAGACAGATGGGCCCCAGAAAAGTATGGGCAATCTTTCTGACATGCAGATACGAATAAAGAAGTTTTGAATCTTGGTGCCCACACCCACTTTCCATCCAGTCCTTCCTGAGAAGCAGCGTCTCCTCCTTTCCAGCCCTGGGATACTGGAGGCTGGATCCCTGGGAAGGGTGCTCTTGATAAGGAGGAGAGGCTGATTTCTGGAATCCATAGAGTCTCCATTTGTGTTGTTTTCCCACAGCCAGAAAGGCCCCCTCCTGCTGCACGAGTCACACAGTGTGATTTCCAGGGTTGAGAGAGCAGCTATGAGCTGCACAGGATTCTGTCTGGGGCATGAGAGAAAGCTAGCTTCATTCAGAGGTACAAAAAGTCCACTGGCATTGGGCTTGTGTTGGTTCTGTCCCTGTCAGTAGTGGTTTGTTGTTGTTTTGTCTTTACCTGGCATTATTCAAAACCCCCAGACAATGTAGTGACATCAGAAGAGAAAAGAGAAGTCAGCAAATCAGATTACATTTGGAGCTGTGTCACTCACCAATCACAGGATGCCAGCAGATAATTTAGCCACTCAGAGCACTTTATCTGGTAAGAACCAGAAGAAGCCCTACAGCCACCACAGGAGGCTACTGGGATTCCCTGGAGGTGGTGTATAGGGTTAGAAACACCAGCACCCAACTCCCCTCCACTGTGCAGTTATTTGTCCTCTGAGCTGCTAGGTAGATGACCCCACAGGCACGATGGCAATTTTTAGAAAAGACACATTATGGGGAAGTGTAATGCCCACGTTTATTTTTTAGGAGTATTTCTATCGGTGAATTATTCATTTTAATTTTACGAGTTTTATTATATTAAACAATGTTTACTTACAGGAAAATAAAATATCAATAAAATAAAATGTTAAATTTTAAATATGGAATGAGGGTACAGAATAAGCATCAACATCCTCAACATCAACTGTTTACGAGATCTAAAAAATTAACAGCAGAAATAAATTCCTATGGGACTACAATAAAAATACAAACAAAACTCCACCCCAGAAATCATGTTTGCTTCCATTATCACACCCGAGACAGTCTTCACACACGAGAATAGCATATTCTGGGCACGAGTGCCGCTTACATGGATAGCACATGTGTTTTGTCTTCCTGTCCTCTTTGGAAGGACACACGTGGCACCTGCTCATCTTCCTCTTTTCTTAGGAGGTTCTTGTGATGATTCACCTGTCTGTTCACCAGTCCCCTCCAGAATTCTTTTGAGAAGTTCTTTGGGCAAGTATATATGTTCTTGGTCTGTTGTAACTGATCATTTGTGAATTCCAGTCCCCATCCTTTAAGAAAATTTATCTATGATATTTTGTGCTTTTTATTTTCCTTGTAAACTATGAAACTATTTGTGCCTGACATGATTAGGGTCAAATAAAACACAACCATTGGGCAGTTCTTCGTGATTTGATTGACATCATAGTTGCTGCATAAGTCACCATCAACACCTACTCCACCTTTCATTTTGTTGTAAAATGTGAACCTTTTTGGCTTCATTTGTGTTGAGGATTCACTATTAATCTTTGTTTTTTTGTTTGTTTTGAGATAGGGTCTTGTCCAGGATAGCCTTGAACTCACTGCGTAGCATACAATGACCTTGATGACCTTGACTTCACGGGATCCTCAGCCTCCTGAGTGCTGAGATTACAGATGTGGGACGCCACACCTTCCCTCACTATCTATCTTATCTTCATGGTGTAATGTTGACAGTACCAACTCTACTTTGTTTTTCTTTGCCATATGGGAGGCCAATATTATATCTTTCTGAAATCCAAAGATTGTACTATATATTTCTCTATTGTGAACTTAACAACATTTTCAGGACTCTTGGCTTTGTCCTTGCAAATAGTTCCTGTACTGGTTAACTACTGTTCCTTTAGCAAATATGCCTAATATGATATCTGGGTTATTTTTTGAAATTGGTGCTACAAGTTTGTTCACAACATCATATACTGTATTACTGCATAAAGAAAGATCTGGTGGATGAGCTCCAGGACAAATTTCTAAATTCAAGGTGTACAATGTTTTCGCATCTACCAGGGCATATATTTTTATATCATATTTGGAAGGTTTACTTGACATGTAATGCCAAAAGCTTCAACAACCATGAAATCATACAAATTGTTCATTACTTGTCACATAGTTGGACTGTGTATAAATTGCTTGACAGTTTGGAACAAAGTTTCCAACAAATGAGCAGATAGCAGCCAACTTGCTGGATTTTATTTTTCTTTTTGTAGTTAAAGTGTAGGCAAATTTGGAAGGAAATAAAATCTCTTGAGTGTCATTATTGTTCAAAAACTTTCCCTGATACATCTGTCACTTCTCCATAAATCCTTTAGATTCTGATGATTAGAATGATAAAGTCCTGCTTCTATGAAGCCTTTTAAATTTTTATTTACATTATTAAATTTTTTGCATTTTCTTCGTCTGAATGGAGGTCTTCACTCCATACTTCTCTATCTGCTATATCTTGCTGACTTCCTTGGCTTACATGATCACCTCATCATTGGCAGTGGAGTCTGATGACTCACTTTCAACCTCCTCTCAAAATTGGAAAAGCTGGTTTCCATGCAACATTGCACTGAATTGGGCTAATTCTACGAGAATAATCACAGGAAAACGTTAAAAACCTTATAAACGCAAAAATGTAACATGGTGCAGAATGTGGATAAAACTCAGCCATTTACACTTTGACACACATGTGTACACCTTGCCATTCATCATATCAAGAGAGTGAACACAAAGATGGCGTCCTGTATCCCCCAGCACAGCTCCTGAGATTCACAGCTGGCTACTGATATGCTAAAATATATATTTTTGTTAGAAAACTATGGCATGGGCATCTGCAATGCAGTATGAGGAACTGAGGCGTTTACAATAGTGTGCATTAGCACAGCACCTTTTCTTTTTTTAGTTCAAGCCTTTTAAGATGTAAAGTGTTGCTTAAATTTGCCCTTTTTAGCACTCTGACAAGCACACACAGTTCTGTAAGCACCACCAAGATGACAGCTTCTGATCTGTCTTGAGAACCCCAAGTAATACCTCTTCCAGAATATTGTACAAGGGGAATCATACACCATGGAGTTAAGTGGCTTCTCACATAGCACAAAACATTGAGATTCATCAAAGTTATAACATACATTCAGGAATGGAACCCTTTTTATTGCTGAATAATATTTCATTCTATGGATGCATTATAGAGTTGTTGTTGTTGTTGTTTTGTAATGCATTAATGCTTGTTTGTTTTTGTAGTACTAGGGATTGGACCCAGGTCTTTGCATTGAGCTATATCCCAGCACTGTTTCCATTGTTTTATTATCAAACAGGCTATCACTAAATTGCTAAGTTTCCCTGGTTGGGTTCTAATTTATAATCTTTTTGCCTCAGCCTCCCAGAGTGCTGGGATCACAGACATGCACCACCATGCCCAGTTCCTTTATTTTTTCCCTATTAAGTTTAGTGATTCATTTAAAGTAAACAATGCACGTACATTTATTATTGGGATTTTGTACTTTTTCATGATATGTCTTGGTTTTTTATTTCCTCATACCCCTGCCCTCCCTTTACCCCCTTCACCCTTCCGTATTTACAAAACCAGCTTCTTTATCTATTTGTATTACTGCCACAAATAAGCCACTATTAACAGTTCAATGAATCAGAGCAGATAGAAATTGAGGAAATATGCACTCTAGACTCACATCCAGGATACAATCAAATTATTCCAAGTCGGGGAAAGGCACGGAGGTGATCTAGAGTACACATCTGGAGGAGAGAAACACACGAGGAAGCCCAGGATGTGAACTTGGGAGAAAATTTACAACGAGCCAAGACAATAAGAAAGGCCAGGACCATAGGAAGGATATTAAACCCCACAGAGGGCAGTTAACCTGCAGTGTCCACAGTGGTCCTCAGCCATCTCCTTTGTCCTTGGTTTAGCCACCTGGCTAAGCTGTTGCTGATGGCAGGTTCTTGCCAGGAAGAAATGGTGAGGGGCACATTGATGGGCTGAGGCGACCCCACAGGAGCTGAGGAGGAATGTGGGTAAGCGCACTGCATCCTGGGTGAGCGCTTCGCAGTGAGCAGCATCCCCAGCACCCCCACTTCCTATCCGCACCATCTTCTTCTCAGAGACGCGTGGGGCCACCAGCCTCCATCCCACCTGCAGCTTTTCTCACACTTGCGCCCCATTTCTTCCAGCCTTCAAGGCTGACAGGTGCCCCCTGCCGTCAGACCCATGCTTCTCCCCTTCCTCCGCCCGCCAGGCCCTGTCATCCGACGCCTCTCCCTTGGTCACTCCTCCTCTCTCACTCTTTGTCCATCTCCCCAGCCTTACTTACACACCGCCCAGCCTATGAGCAACCTAGGCTCCTTCCTCAGCCTCTCTTCCTCACTGCCTCCTTCCCCTCTCCTCACTCCTCACTGGAGCTTCTGGGCTCCGCTGTCTTCCGTCGCTTTCCTATGTCGCCTTCACCAGGGCCAGGCAGAGCAGACACACTGGGAAGGGAAAAGTGATGACAGAGGAGACACGCGTGCGTGTGTGTATTAAAGTATACTTAAGTTGATTTGGGGAAAATATTAAGATTCTGTTGGACTTTATCAAAATCTAAGTCAGTGTTGATTTTATTTTAAAATACACACGAGGCGGACAACACAGTCTTTTTTGGTGTTTAGGCCTCTGAAGGCCTTCTTGCTCTGGAAATTAGGACTCACAACCAACATTTGCACAGGGTCACCAGTACACTCTAGTAGTAAACTCCAATGGATTTTGTGGGTCTTAGACTCCTCTGCCACCCTGGCGTCTTTGCCCATCCCTCCTTTAAAACTCTCTGCTCTGCCGACCTTTGTGATTAGGTACTTTTTTGACTGTCCCCCAGGCCCTCTGGCCATTTTTCCTCTGCCTCCTTCTAGGCCCTTTCCTCAGTATGCCCATCAGACATGGTGTCCAGAGTCCTGGGCTTGGTCCTCTTCTCTCTGTTCATTATCTCTGGGCCACTCCTCTGCCTCATGGCTTTCGCTGTCACCTAGAGTGCCCATATCCACATTTTCAGCCCTCTGACTCCCCAGGCTTTGGATCTGTCATACGTACATCCTAAAATGGCCTCCAACGACAAATCTGTATGTGTTTCCTGGAGCTCTGTAACAAATTACCACAATCCTAACTATCTAAAAGAACAAAAATGTATTGTCTCAATGCTCTAGAGGCCAGAAAATGAGGTGTTGGCAGGGCCACACTCCCTCAGGAGGCTCTCAGGGAATCCTTCCTCTCTCTTCTAGCTTCTGGAGGCTGTCAACAAACCTTAACTTCTGGGCTTGTGGCTATGTGATTCCCATCTGTCCCTCTGTCTCCATCAGGCCTTCTCCCCTGTGTGGCTCCTATCTCTTTCCATTTGTCTCATAAAAAGACAATTGTTGTTGATTTAAGACCCACCCAGATAATTCAGGATGGTGTCTTTACCTCACAATCCTTAATCTCACGATCCTGCAAAGCTCTTTTTTTTTTTTCTTTCCCAAATGATGTAACATTCATTGGTTCTTAGAATTAGAATGGGGACATACTGTCTTTGGGGGAGGGCACTAGCCAACTCACTACAATGTCTAGTACTAAACTCACTACCTTCCCTATTTTGTGTTAAAGACCTCCCTCCAGCCCATTGGTAACTTGGGCCAAATGCCTCAGGATCATTAGAAACTGTCTCATTTATTCCACACTCTGATGAGTCATCTAATAGTGATAGTTTGTTTTTTTTTTTCAATACCATCTATGTCTCAAATCTGCTGTCTCTTCTGCATCATTAGCACCCCTGACCTGGCCCCGGCCTCAGCACTTTTGCACAGCATCAGCTCCTCCCAGCAATGTTTCCTCCCTCCAGGGAGATCGCTGGCACCCAACTGCCAGGAAGCATCATTGTAGTTTCTCTGCTTTATGGCTTCCCCGTCTGGTACAGAGAAGTCCAAACTCCACGGATGTAAAGGGCCTTCCAGAGCCTTCTCCGAGTCCCTCATCAGACTCATCTATAGCAACTCACAACACAGTTCTAGAGCTCCTCGGGTCCTCCTCTTGGAAACCATCTCCTCTCCTCTCCTCTCCTCTCTATGGGCTTTTGTTTGTGCTGCTGCCTCCTTTCCAATTCCATCGACTTTTCTCCCGGCTTCACCTCTTCCCCGAAGCTTTCCTTTAACTCCCAGGATCCGTGAACATCTCTACATTTCTCACTGACTTGGTGCACCCAAAGTGTTTATGTCTTCCCGGACAATCGCTAAGATCTTACTCACCTCTGAGCCCCAGCCCTTAGTCCTAGCTTGAAATAAATGTGAGTTGACTTGAACAGAAATTTGCCTAAATGTGTAGCAAATTAAGTGTAAAAGGCTGGGCCTAGGGATAATATGGGTGAGGGGAACGATCTGGATTGCAGAGACTGGGATGGGAAGGGTCGGGGGAAGGATGGGGGCGGTTGTGCTGACAGAGGCTAGGAAGCTCGGTGTGCACACGCACATGTGCGAGTTGGGGGTTCGAAAATACAAAGAAAAAGGAGAGAGGAGGGGTGAAGAAACGGAGGGCAGAGACATCTTAAGAGAAGGGAAGGAATGGGAAGTTATTAGCCAGGTGGGACCCATTAGTGGTGATGGGGAGCATACAGCGGTTGCTAAGAGGCAGCAAGAGAAACCTGCATATCTGCCCTGCTTGGGCTGGAAGCCTGCATGGGAGATGATCAGGTCCCTCAAAGTCCAGAGAGTTTGTTTTGTTCAGGGTCACTTTTTCTGTACCTCTGAGCCCCTTCTTGTGATTGTCTTTTATTGCTCTGAAAGAATAAAAATGATCTGCTCTCAGAAATGTCTCCCTACCCTACTTCCCCTGCCAGTTGATTCCTTTCCCTAAGGAATCCTCCTTGGCTCGGCCACAAGTAAAGACACTCGCGAAAGAAGACTTCCAGAACTGCTTCAGAAAGTGATGAGAACAGTGGGTATGTGAGTTTGAAGCAAGAGGGAGTATTCTGAGGGGAATTCAGGAATTGTGTCTTCAGCCATGATACACTTTTTAAAAAGGCAAGCATTCATTGTATTTTTTTGATCACACTTTATAATTCGCTGCAGGAGTTAAATAAATAAACCACCCCCCAGAAGAGCCCCTGCAGCTGAAAAGAGTCCTTGGAGCTCTAGAATCAACCACTGTAGCAACCAGTCCCTCAGGGTGGCACCTGCAGGGCCCAAATGGGAAGCATCCCAGAAGAAGATACTTACTGAGCCCTCCCCTGGGTTTGGTAGTCAGAATACATCTCCCTAGAGAATCTCTTCTTTCACTGTTTGTCAACAGCTGTCACCAGCCTGTCCCAATCCCAAGCATACAGGAGACAGAGTGACCATGCTGGGTACCTGGGGACAACCCTGGCAACAGGAGCCAGCTTCACTCTGCTCCTGTTCAGTTTACTCTAAGAAGCATTTCTTGAGGGCCTACTGCACTAGACACATGTGCTACATAGCTGAATACAGACAGGTGAGTGTCGGTCCCTACTCTGGAAAAGGCCACAAGATGGCGGAGGAGACAGATAATGAGCGATTCCCACAGAATGATGGAGGAGCAACTGCCCCAGCTTTCCCAGTGGCGGGGGACAGGGGCCCAAGGAGAAACAGTGTGTCCTGGCTGAGCTTCTGGAGGAAGCGTGGTGTTGACCAAGGTGAGATGATAGAGGGTGTGGCAGGAGAGGGGACCTGGGACAGGTCGGTGTGGCTGCTCGCTTTCTCCTTATGTTTGTGTCCCGCTCTGGCCTTTTGATAAAAGTCCTGCAGCACCACAGGAAGTGCAGAAGTGCGGGGACAGAGTTCGGACAGAGGCTGGCTGAGGCACAGAGGAACAGACCATGGACTTGCAGGAGGATATTTTCACTTCCTTGACTCCCAGCCAACCAACCCAGTGAGTGCAAACTTACCTTCCCTGGCTTGATTGCTGCTTCCTCAAACACATGGGCTGCTTTATCTTTGGGTGCGGTGGGGTTGGAACATTCCGTCTTGGCAGGATGCCTCTTTTTGGAGAGAGTTCAGAAGGAGCTGCCCTAGATGGCCAGAACACACTGAACCTGAGTTGGGTGCTGCCACAGGCCAGGGACTTTTTGGAAGGAGCCTAGGCTGGCATAAATTCTCCAGGAATCCGTAGTCACTGGTCCTGAAGGGGGCATGCCAGGTCCTGTTTGGACTTGCAGAAATGAGTTATTTAAGGCCGAGCCGGCATTTGCAAGTTCTTGTAGAAAACCAGTTCCCACACATCAGTGTCTTTATCAGGTAGCTAAAGCAGAGACGAGTTGCTTTATAACAATGAGGGGAATTGCACCATAGAGTGTGTTGTCATCTTAGTCCGTCTTCCCTTTGGCAGTTCATCCTAGAAGTTGCCAGGATTAGATCCCCGAGTGGGTCCCACAACTTCCAAAGTAGATTTCGACCCCCTCACTCCTTCTGCCTGCTGGTATCGCATGTGGCCTGCTTTTTGGTTCCGGGGGGGAAGACTGTTACTCAAAACTGGCCACTGGCACCTGCATCTCCCAACTGTGGAGCTCACATGAGACAAGTCACGAGGTGTGACATGTTGAAAGCAACAGCCCTCACGCCCATGCTGCTGCTCGTGCCCTGAACAGTGGATCCTGACCGCTGCTGGCTTGTTAGCAGGCCCAGCCCTACTGCTGCCCGGTTACTGCACAGCAGACAGAAATGAGTCCCTGTTATGGCTTCCTCCACGTGCCCCCCCCACTCCCTCTTTTGTCACATCAGCACAGCTGACATCTTATACTACTCTGCTACAAGTAGGAGCTTGAAGTTATGACGACTATGCCAACAGACTCTTGAAGTTAATGACATTTCACTATTTCTGTTTCAAAACTGGCCACTTGGATTCTTTTTTCCCAATTATATAGCCCTATCCCACAGCACACACTCTTAGGACCTTGCTGGTTTCTTTACTAGCAAGATAATAAACTTTCTGCTTAAAGTCAGCGTTGTCTAAGATACACGGTGCTCCGGCATCTCCTTTCCCAGCTGTAGGTTTCCTCCCCTTCAGTTTTTTTCCCCAAGGCACCTTCAAGCACACAGCAGACTGGTAGGTCTCCAGCCTGCGTTCTGCAGAGCCCCCACCTCATTTTTCTTAAATCTGCTGAATACCATCTCTTTCTGAGAAGCCTCCCTCTCTGAGTCCACGTCCCTCCTCAGCCTTCCCTCTCTCTGTGCCCCAGGCTAGGAGGTCTCCTTGATGTCCCCATAGATAGCTTCTTAACATCTATCTCTGGGCTCGGTAAGAAAAACATCCAGCTTTGAAAGTTAATCATCGGGCTGGGCTTTAGCTCAGTGGTTCCGCTGCCTGCCTTTCAAGGACCTGAGATCGATCCCCAGCCCGCCTGCCCCCTCAAAAAAGAAAGTTAATCACGATGTGCATGAAAAATATTTGTAGCTAACATCTATTTGAGTGTTTCCTATGCCCTGGATACCTAAGGCCTGCACACAAACCATTCCATTAGAGTTTACAACAGCCCTGTACAGACACGGTTGTTGCCTAACACACAGTTCCTTTCTTCATGGCTGTCAGAGGGTACTGCGTTTCAACATTGTGCCGATCAGCATTAGATCGCCATGACAAAATAGCTGAGACAAACAACTTAAAAGGAGAAAAGGTGTCTCTTGGCTTATGGTTTCATATTCATTGCTTTTAGTAAGGCAAAGCAAAGGTGGTAAAGCAGAATTTGCAGGAAGGGGCCGGGGATTTAACTCAGTGGTTCCACCGCCTGCTTTGCAAGCACAAGGTCTGGAGTTAAAGCCTGGCACCAAAAAAAATGCAGGAGGCACATGGTAGAGGAGGCTGCTCCCACCATGGCAGCCAGAAGGCAGAGAGAGAGAGGAAGAAGCCACAGGGCCAACATAGTCTTCAAGCCAACCCCGTAATGACTTAATGACTTAATTTCTCCATTGAGGCCTGATCTACAGTCTCCACCACCTCCAAGTGTTCGGCACGATAGCTTTTGGGGGACATTTAAAAAACAAATCACACAGACTTTTGGAGATGAGGAAGGGAATCCGAGGAGGGAGAGGATAGTGAAACGAGGGTCATGGGGATGAAAATAATCACCACACTGTGTTAGATGCATGTACCAGTGTACTGAAATGAATCTCATTATCCTGTATTACCAATATATACCAACTAAAAACAAAAAAATCCAAACCATAACAAATGCCAACTCCTCTTCCTGGCAACTCAAATAAGTTAAAAAAATAAAACCTATCCAAATTGGTCTAAACCAATTACTGTGATCTCATTTATCTTCGAGCAATTGGTTTTAGCACAGTCATGTAATGTAATTCTGGCCAGTGAAATACGAAGCGAAGGCTAAGGAGTGGAGAGGAGGGGAGGTCATGAGAGTAACTGGGGGCCAGGAACTCTGGCAATCGTTTTTGCACCCAGAAGGGAACCAGCCTGAGAACAAAGGGGCACAATAAAGTGTTGGAACCAACAAAGTAAGTGAGCCTTTGAGTCTATCGATTACTGAAATAACCAACCGAGGTGTACCAAGACTTCTTTTTATGTAAGGAGATATATTCTCCTTCTTACGATGAAATTCTAGCAGCCTCTTAATCATTGGAAAACCCAATAGAAATTCTATTATTATTTCACATTATCATTTTACAAGTGAGGCAGTGAAGCTCAAAGAATCCAAGTAAGTAATTTACTGAATTTAAAGTGCTTGTAAAATGTTAATCCGGCTGCAGGACTTTTAAGTACCGATAACGTTCACTATCTCAACACACAGCTCAGTGTCACTCTGTAAATCCTTGCTTCTAACACAGTGTCTGAAATTGTAACTCGTGCTCAGTAAATATGTTTGAATATTTTAGTGCTTATGTGGTCTGAATGTTTATGGATATTCTTCTCTTGATACCACCGAATAGGCTGCTTTCTGGGTCTCTTGAAAAGAGACAAAAAATATATATTTCATTTGGATCCTGTAACACTCTCATTGGGTACTCTAAAGAAGGAATTACTTAAAACATGGAAGCAAGGCTATATATTACAGACAATGGAAAAATAGGGGAAAACAACCCCTCATACCTTCTCCATTCTAAAATAATTGCTGTTTCTGTGGTCTCCTAGTAATTGTTTTTAAATGTGTAGTGGACAGGAGGTGCATAAAAACCTCCTAATTTTATGAAATTTTTAGCAAACTACAGAAAAGAGAGTGCTTTCTCGATCTTGTAAGGTACAACCATCAAAAACCGACTACATACTTCCAACGTTTAGAGATTTAAAATTCTCTCTTGTTTAGGATCAAGATCATCATTGTTTTACTATTCATCATTATAATGGAAATTCTGGCTAGTGGATTAATGTAGGAAAAAATAGATTTAAGTTAAAAAAAAACATGAAAAGAAGAACCAAAGCTATCGTCGTTCACAGGCAGCATTATTGCCTACAAAAGAGAAAAAAGGCCAGGGGAATCTATGAAAACAATTAGCACAAATAAAATATGTTCTACAAGGTTGCTAGATAAATATGCAAATTCATGTTGCATCCCAATGTGTCTGCAACAATTAGAAAAGATAACAGAACACACCACGTTCAGTAGCAAGAAAATCTGTAAAGCTCCAAGGACAAAACCTAAAAAAAAAAAAAAAAAAAAAAAAAAAAAAAAACC